CGATTACTAAGTCATAGATTAGTTACAAGTGTGCCACAACTTTTACAGTGGCTTTTTGTCCCGCCATCTTTAAACACAGTATGACATAAACATGAAGATAGTCATTATTTGGATCATTAAAAACGTCGTTGTCTGATAATTCATCTTGCTTTCTTGACTGCACCAAGACGTATCTCTGTGACATTGTTGATCTGCAAGTTTCTATTCGATGAAGAGAATAATCTGATCCCACTAATCAACTTTGTGTTTTCTGTCATCTATTCTTTCGCTGTCTCGTTCGCAACATTTTGCATTTCACTCTTCCATTAATCGTTTTTCTGTTGATTTATCAGGATTCTGACTGACGCGATTATTTTTTTTGTTTGCCTATTGAGACACCTTATAGTCCTGTGTGCTAGACTCTCTTGACAAAAACGATTTTACTCGGATTGTTATTCTAGTCGATATCATGAAAAATATAATTGCACGAATATGATCGTCATGATAAACGAGTCTTTTTGACTCTTTTCGTTTGTCAAACTCAATTAGCGCCATTGATATTAGCACGTAGTTCAAATATAGGAAGGGAAACGAAAGAACAATGACGACAATAAGTCGTACGTGTCGAAATCGTCTGTCTGCTCGATTTTAACCAACGTTCGACAAAGATCGGCACCGATGATTTACGTGCAGATTTTTATTAAAGTTTTAACATCACTTGTACCGATTGTCCTTTTAGAGCATTGTTTAATCAAATTTTCTTTATTTGTGATATTAGTCAATGAAGATCGATTCCTGAAGGCTACCGAAAGTTTGTCACCTAATTGACGAGGATGAAACGTGTCGAGTGTCACACTTGCCTTCAATACCATCCTCATGACGTTGATGTGATTGGATAGATGAATGATTCAGATGATTTGTATGATAAATATGAGTGGGTGATCGACAAACCATATTGCTCAATTTTTTTGCCTATTGTTAATATACTCACTTTGATACCCGCTTCTACAGCGCTAGCCATACCTACATGCTATTAGTGTGTTCTCAAATGAAAGAAATAAAGTTAGATAAAATCTTGACACTGTTTATCTCTATTTTAGATGAATAAGGAAAACTTTCGCTGCTACATCCGAGTGCACACTGTATTTAATATTCAAGCTAGAGTTATTCATGATGAAATATGTTCTGCTTGTGGTGACAAAGCTGCTTCGCTTAGGACAGTTGAAATATTGTCTAAATAGTTTCATAAAACTCGATAAGAAGTTGAAGATGAAGCACAATCTACTTGTTTCTGTATTTCGCTTTTATTTGGCTGCCATTACTTTCTGTATACCACAATATATGTAGATAGCTAAGTACGTATTAGAGAAAACGAGAACAAAAAAATACAAGAAAAGAACAACAAGAAATACAAGACAATATGAACTAATATAAACTTCATACATCATAACCAGATAGATCTTACTGAATTTTTATTGTTATGATATTGATTGAAGAATGATATAAGAACGCCGGAAAAAAAGTAGAGTATCGTTCTTACTATAGGTGCATATTGAAAGAAGGTTTCTTTGAACATTTTATAAGGAATTAAAATATGTCCACCAGTTACTTTTGGTATGCTCCAAGTATTTGCTACTAAGATATCAAGTTTACTGTTACTATTGACACAAGCAGCTGCCACCAGCGGCATAGGCTTGCTGACCTATGAATGGGTCATAGCTTGTATAACGCAGAAGAATGATATTGTTTGTTGCAGGAACGTATGACAAAGACTTCGAAATATTTACCGTTGTAGACATTAGCCGCTGTTACTTAACTGGATTTTACATTGATCGAATAGATTTGTTGAGTATTGAATGTACTATAATCTTTGTTCTGAAGAATAGCGACATTGCTGGCTAGCTCGAGCTGTGTGCGAGTTTCGCCAGGATAAAGAACATAATACTCGTATACTGTTATTAATGATGTTATTGATTCTTTACTTCTATGCTGAGTATTCTATTTCAATATTGTACGCAAGCCAGTATCATGATCATAGTTCTCTGTAACTTGATACAAAAAATACAATGGTTTACGAACAAATATGTCATTCTTTATGAGTAACGTACATACAGGTCGTATCTAGTATGAAGTTTGCTTTATGTTAATTCGTGCATGATTGTATTTTTTGACTTGACGTCATGAAGAAACATGATAGCCTGCCTTATTTAGCCCTTAAAAACTTTGCATTTAACTATTTTTGGTGATATACAAGTGTGTATTTTTATCCTGTGCAGGTAAGTTTATTCAAGTGCATTAATATCTTATACTTATTAAATGACTTCTCATTTAGAGGATATCTGATAAAATTCATTTTACAAAAAAAATTGTCAATTGTTTATCAAATAGGATATATCAGAAAACATTTTCATTGGTATATAGAAAAATTTGGGATATTTTGAAATTGAAGTCTACCTTCGAAAGAAAATTCTTCTTGAAGACTCTTTGAGTTCTCAAGTTTGTTATCAACAGTCTAATGCATACTTGTTTTTGAACTGAATAGTTTCTAATCAATTGTTAGAACCAATGATGACAGAAACTTAAAATAGAGCAGACTTAATTGATGCAGGAGAGAATATTATTGTACAAGAAATAAACCTTTTAATCTTTGATGATTTGAATTAGGCTTCGTTTTGACTTTGAGTAGAAGTATTCTCTCTGTGCGTTTAAAAATATGGAGTCAAAACTCGTGAAGACTGTGTAGAATCCATATTACAAAAAAAGATGTGTTCTGTCATATGAGTTTTGCGTCTAATGATCGTAAAATTTATTCAAATGATTGAAGTGCGAGAAAAATAATTTAGACTTTCTGTATCAATCCGATGACAAAACTAAATTCAGTTCGCTGGAACTAAATGATTCATTGCCTTCCAAGATATTTTGATTTTCATATTCAAGATTGATTATTTCCTAACAGAACTTTTCACTGTGCGATGTTTAAATCAGATTATTTCCGACTCTATAGTTTGCAGCTACTGTGTGTCTCTACAGACTTTACATGTTCCAGTCACTATTGATTCAGTAGTAGCTACCAATATGTCAATATACTTGCCCATGCCTAATACAATAGAATATGTTGTACTTTGCGACATGCCACGATACATCAATTTTTTTAAAATTTTCTCACAGGTCCGATGTATTCCTTTAAATTTGATTCGAGTTTAGTCTCTAACTTTTTTGTCTTTTTGCCTGCTTGCAAAGAATGTAGCTGAGATTTTTACATCGATCTGAGACAAGCAATATTCTTACCTCTTCATTCTTTTCACCCGAACATAATATCACTAGATCTTCATAAATATTCACCTCAAACCACAACGAGAGTAAAATATGTGTACTTGTTTGTAAAGAACTGCACTATTTTCGCATATCCCGTGATACGCCTGTATTTTCGTTTTTCTACAGAACTATAATTATAATAGTAAATTTCGGTCATCGTATACAGAAATTATATACGATATTATGATTTACCGTCAGAGTGCTGATTTAATTAAAACGCCGCCTTTCTCACCTAGAGCCTGTCATTGTTATACACGGTAAGTTTCAAAAAATAGATATATTGTTATGTAAGTTTTATTGCATCTTTTTTTCTGCCGACTGTAAGCTAAATCTCATCAAAACTGTTAACTACATGGGAGAATCGGCATTATACATGGACTGCTCTAGAGCCTTGACACATATTAAAGATTTGAAATTTTAGCAGATTGGTCGATATCTAGCTAAAAACTATGCACTAACCACAATGCAAAAATGAGAGAGAGCAGTTGTCAACCTCCATCCATCATCGAAAATCTTGTTGATCTCTCAATGTATTCTCAAATAATAATTAATCGAGAATTAACATTGAAGAATCATATCCAAAGTCTAACTTTCGATATAATTTGATCAAGTCTCATATATGGAACTACAAGCATAAAACAAAATTCTAGATAACTACTGAGTGAATTTTGAAGAGTTTCGACCGTGATGTATTTTGTCAAAAGCTTATTTTTTCGTAACACAAGCTCTTTATTGAACTGCGACACGATGCTACTGCACAAACTTCATAGAGACTATGCCTGTACTTGTATCCATTTTTAGAAACCATGAACTCGATGTCAAAAACAGTAGAACCTGTATCCATCATAGTACCGGTAGATTCCATAGATATAAAAAATGGAAGAAATCAACGTAATCTTCGATCAATCATTCATGAGTTCTGTTTGAACACATCGATACATGCCCTTCCAGGTATTGGCCGAAGTCAAAATGCTTGGAATCGTCTATTTTGGTGGATTTCATTCATTACTTTTACCGGAGCTTTGATCTATTGTCTTGTCAGAGAGATTCTAGCCTACTTCCAATATCCAACGAAAATGGATGTGAATATTGTAAGAGAATGGCCACAATTCTTTCCGGCTTTCAGTCTTTGCAATGCTTCACCATTGCGTTACGATAAAATCATCAAATTCTTTCTGAACTACACTGACAAACTCAATTTAAGCAATACGAATGAAGGAGCAGCTTTTTCTAGTCTTCAAGCTACCTATGTTATCAATTTTCTAATAGAGAGCATCAACAAGAATGAATCCATTCATTCTTTTATGTATTCACTCCCGGACTTATTGTTAAGATGTACGTTCAATTATCACAACTGCTCAGCCACTGATTTCATTCCATTTTTATCATCAGTATATGGTCTATGCTATACATTCAATCCAAAATTTAAAAATAGCAGCAATGGTCGTGTACGCTATGTGAATGAGAATGGTGGTTCAGGCGTACTTGATTTGGGTCTTTATATACATAGCCACCAATATGTACCCTATATTCGCAACGGTGAGTAGATTTTTCATCGATCGAATTCAATTTTATTCTTTTGTACGCTTCATCAAGACATTGGCATAGTCGTCCTTATTCATGACAATACACAGATACCGCAGATTGAAGCAGTCGGTATTCACTTATCGCCTGGAAGAAGATATAAATTGACTTATCGAAAGCAGATGACATTCTTCTTACCTCCACCATATACAACGTGTACTGATAAAATTTCTACTGCGATAGAAGCCATGCTGGAAAAGTATCATGGTGCTGATTATCGCTATTCCGAGAATATATGTTTTCAACTGTGTTTGCAAACTTATGTGTAAGTTCTTTAAGAAACAAAATATTCATGCAGCCACATATGATTTCAACTGAACTCATATAATTTTAGATATGAACAATGTGGTTGTGTCAATCCTGTTCTATGGAATGCTCGCTCGATTGTTCTTCCAAATACGAGCAAAGTTATTCTAGCACCTCTTTGCAACCAAAGCAATACGTGTTACATTCCAGCAGCAAACGTTTTATTGAGTACAGCATCTCTTACAAATAAGTACTGTTCTGAATGCAAGGAAGAGTGTTCTATAACGGATTTTATTGTTCAAATCTCGTCACTAATGGTACCAGTTGAATGGCAAATGAATAACATTAAAAGATTTGTCGAAAATTCTACCATTCCACTAGCCAATAATTGGTCAACAACATGGACCAAGCATATTGAAACCAATTATGTTGCTGTCACTGTTTTTCATGGAATGATTGCAGTAGAAAATAAGACACAAACAGCAACACTTGGTGTGATTGAAGTTCTTTCAAACATTGGAGGTCAAATTGGTCTATGGATTGGTTTTAGTCTTCTCTCATTAATGGAAGTCGTCGAAATGGTCTATCAACTGATTTGTTATCAATGTCGTAAGATTCGATTAGGAAAAAGAAACATCGAATCAATAATACCACAATAAATTTCATCTAATGCCTTGTATTTCTTTCAATTAATGAATGGAAAAACTCATCATTTTAATAGTCTAATGGAATTTTTTTCTACTATTTTGACTTACAGATAAGTTTCAATTAATTCATTCGTTACTTCAGTTTCTATATGTATCACACAAAAGTAAAAATCTCGCTTCTTATCTAATCTACATATTCAACAAAGTCCTTTCGAATCTCTCAATGCTGAACTGAAAGGATTTCTATAAATCAACGATGCTCATAGCTCGAAATATATTGAGTGCCACTCAAAAACTGTTATCGAAAGAGACATGAAGATTGACATAAATGGATGGATTAGTGGATATAAGTCTGCTTTTCAACCACACTTACACTGCTTTAGCTAACAGTCATGATGCCTATTCCAATTTTCTGGATTATTCCCTTTTCTACTAAAAAACACGAAGTATTCACATAAACAGATAGGATCTATCAAAATATGTATAAACAAGTGTGTCAAAGTGAAATCACCTGCTACACCCACGACACTTTCAACTTTTTGTTTTCATTCAAAAGTTCCATCATTTGTCGTCGTGCTTGCTCTCCGATATGATTGGAACGAAGAATGAGTGTGGCGAGTGTCTGTGTGAAAATTGACAGGACGAAGGTGTTTAGCAAATGGTGTATTACCGTGTTGATTGTGAGAGCATTGGCAAGATGTTGTGCTCCTGAATCTCCGATTCCGTTATGTCCAAGGTCAAGTATGGTGAGTGTCTGCGAAACCTGAAGGTTGACAAGACAAAGATGTGTACTAAATGATGTATTACCTTATTGTATGTGAGCGCATTGGCAAGATGTTGTGCTCCTGGGTCTTGAATTTGATTGCCGCTAAGATTGAGCGTGGTAAGTGTCTGTGTCAAAAGTGGAGATCGATAAGACAAAAATAAGTAGTCAATGATCTAGTATTACCTTGCTGTTTGTGAGAGCATTGGCTAGATGCTGTGCTCCTTGGTATCCGATTATATTTGATCGAAGATCGAGTATGGCAAGTGTCTACGTGAAAAATGAAGGTTGTTAAGGCAAAAATGGCTATTGATTGCTGTATTACCTTATTGTTCGTGAGAGCAACGGCAAGATGTTGTGCTCCTTGTTGTTCAATAAGATTAGATCGAAGATCAAGTGTGGTAAGTGTCTGCATGAAAAGTGACGATTGCCAAGTAAAAACTTTTTGCAATTAAAAGCAATTAAAATTTCAAAATTCTATGGGCATAATCGGAATTAATAATTTGATCACAACACAACAAAGTCAAAATTATTGTCAACATTAATCAATCAGGAGAATTGTAATTGATTAAGAATACAAAGTCTAGTTGATCAAAATTTAGATTTTATTTCACAATAGTAATGTTGAAAATCCTCCATGTTTGAATTCAGCCCGATTTTGTCGATTTTTAATATTGTTGTACTCGTTCGTAGACGAAAAGTTAAAACAAAATTAAATATAGGCCTTTCTCATATGAAAAAACGAACAGAGAAAATCTGATTTTAATCAACGTTCTCTGTCTCCTTTTTATATCGAAATTATCTCTTCTAATTCTATGCCATCTCTTAGTTAATCAATTTTAGTTTATTATCACTTTTTAATGGATTTCAACCTGTTGCTAGTTGTTGGTTTATTTTAATCATACACATCGAATACCAGCACTTTTTTCAAGACTCGATTGCAAAATTCCAGTTTTTCACAATTTTTTTGGATTGCTCGCATTTAGAAACCATGAAATTGTCATGAAGCTTAAGCCCGGCAAATAATGTAAGTTGGTACTACTATATAAAGTACTCCAAATCAAAATAGTGCAGTAGCATCAGAAATCAATTAAAATCGATTGAAACCAATTGATTTTTATAAAATTTAGCTTAATTACGTAATATAACAAAAAAAAAGACTGGAATCATAATCATTTACTATTTGAATCATCTATAGCTGGCATTTATGGTTCTGAATACTGGCTCTCTATAATATGTAATCCAAACAAACAATAGAAAGAAAACAGACATCCTAGATCTGCGTGCTAGTTCTTCTTGAAACCTGTTGGATTGTTCTTTAACTCGTGCTCTATCGGCTCTTTTCTGAAAGTTTCCTGCTGATTGGATCTCAGTTCAGGTCCGGAGGATGTGACTGTGGATGAAGCTCTTCTGTACCACACATACAACAACATATCTCGTACTTGTTCGAATAATTCGCTTCTATATAGCCTTACTGATATTCACCAATTGCTTTATAATTGGTTGGCAACACTATAGTCAGCTTTTTGATAAAAAGGAAACTACATTTGAAATAATCAATAATAATCGGCAAAGTAGATTATTTTTCAATCTATTTAGAAATTTTAATCAATTTTAATCGGATTATTCTGCAATAAAATGAAACTCGTACATTGATAATAAAAAATAGTCGTGATTTTCTCAGGAATACTTTTGAATGGGTGGCAAGACAAAAATAAGTAATCGATGCTGTATTACCGTGTTTTTTGTGAGAGCATTGGCAAGATGTTGCACACCATTGTCTTGAATTTCATTTTTGCTTAGATTGATTCTAGTGAGTATCTATGAGAAAAGTGGAGATCAACAGGGCAAAGGTTGGTAGTAAATGGTATATTACCATGTTGTTGGTCAGAATATTGGCAATTTGCTGTGCCCCTGATTCTCCAATTTGGTTGTGTTCAAGGTGAAGTGTTGTGAGTGTCTATGTGAAAATTGAAAATTGATAAGACGAAAGTGTTTAATAAATAGTCTATTGCCATGTTCTTTGTAAGAGCATTGGCAAGATATTGCGCTCCTAAATCTTCCATTCGATTATATCCAAGATCGAGTGTCGTGAGTGTCTATGTGAAGAGTAGAGATTCATTAAACGAAGATATTTGTAATAAATAATGTAGTACGATGTTCTTTGTAAGAGCATCGGCAACATATTGGGCCCCTGAGTCTTGAATTTCATTGCCCCCCAGGTCGAGTGTCGTAAGTGTCTATATGAAAACTGAAGATGGGCAAAACGAAAACGTTTAGTAAATAGTCTATTACCGTGTTGTGTATGAGAGCATTGGCTAGATGTTGTACACCTACAACTCCAATTTCATTATATCTAAGGTTGAGTGTGACGAGTGTCTACGTGGCAAGTGGAGATTAACAAGACGAAGATGAGTAGTAAATTATATAATACTATGTTGTTTGTAAGAGCATCGGCAATGTGTTGTGCCCCTGAATCTCCGATTCCATTATGTCCAAGATCGAGTGTGGTGAGAGTCTGTGTGAAAATTTATGATAGACAAGATGAAGAGGGATAGTACATCGGCCTATCACCGTGTTCTTCATGAGACCGCTGGCAAGATATTGTGCTCCTTGGTGTTGGATTTCATTACCACAAATGTTAAGTATGGTGAGTGTCTGTGTGAAAAGCGGAGATCTGTAAGACGAATGTGAGTAGTTAATGACGAGTTACCGTGTTCTTTGTCAGAGCATTGAATAGATGTTGTGCCCCAAAGTCTTGAATTCCATTATATCCAAGGTCAAGGGATATGAGTGTCTACACGAAAACTAGAGATTGTTAAGATGAAGATAGGTAATAAATAATGTATTACCGTGTTCTTTGTGAGCATATTGGCAAGATGCTGTATTCCTTGATCTTCAATTACATTAGATCTAAGGTTTATAGTTGTGATTGTTTACGTGAAATACTGAGATAGACAGGACGAAGATAAATAGTACATGAAGTATAACTGTATTCTTTGTGAGAGCATTGGCAAGATGTTGTGTTCCTGTCTTTCCGATTCGACTATGTTGAAGATGAAGTGTCGTGAGTGTCTTTGTGAGCATTGACGATTGGCAAGGCAAAAAGATTTAGTAAATAATGTATTACTGTGTTTTTTGTAAGAGCATTGGCAAGATGTTGAGCCCCTAGGTTTCCGATGGCATTGCCATGAAGGTCGAGAATGGTAAGTGCCTATTAGAAAAGGAGAGATGTAGATTAATCATGACAGTTTCACTATTCTTTTGCCTATGGAAAGGAAAGGAAACTGTAAATACTTGAATATAGGACTATTTCCAGGATTCCTTGTATCCAATGTAAATGGTTCAGACAATAATTTTATAGAGTTACCTGTAATAGGTCTCAATTTAATCTTTTTACTGATTAACGTTTTGTTACTTATAATCATCTACTTTTAGCTAGTATTTTCTATCTTTGTCCAGAACTTTGTTAAACGACCAATCATCTTCAACTTTTGCCGACTCTTTTTAGGCTGACTACTGTCATTTTTTTCCTTATTGCTTCAGACAAGAATAGAAAGATGTTGGTGAAGAGAACAGGATAGGATATATGGGCGTTTTTTTTTTGAGTTGTAATATAATCCTGATCATGTGCTCTTTCGTCATGCTTAAGCGAATCTTACGTAGATCATTCTAGTGCAATCGTATAAAATTAATAGTGATTGAGAAGCGATCTATCGTCAATCTTGCAAATGTTTCCAAGACAAACAGGAAATATTCCAAGAAAAAGTATGATATCAACATCAATAACTCAGAGAACAATTTATTATTATCTTCAACAAAAAAAGATGACAAAAAAATTTGAAAAGGTACATTTCGAGATTTAGTTTCTGACTCTAAATCAATGGATGATAGATGAAGGACAAACCACAATGATAGAATATAACAATAATCCAGAAAAAGAAACAATGGTTACATCAACCACGGCAACAATCAGATTCAGCGACACGTCATAAAAGCGAAATCGAAAATGAAGAAAACACGTTAAAACGAAACATGACGATGAAGAAAGAAAAGGTTTTAACCTACGTTGCTGTTATTGAGCGTAATCTTAAATGTAATTTACGCTTAGATTCTAAAAAAGTAAGGCTATTTCGCTCTCTTTACTTTTCTCAACTGACTGGTAAGTCTACAGACATAATGGTATTGTTTATTATGTGATAATCCATGTCATAAACTCGATAGCTGATCATTTGAGCATTTCGTTCCG